GACTACCAGTTACAATGAAAATACGAATAACATGTACGTTTAGACTCTTGGGTAATTATTTGCAACAAAAAAAATCATAAAACTATTTCCATAAAGTATACATTGAAAATTTGCCTTTCAGCGCCTCGATTGTAACTTGTACTCAATTGGAGTACTTCACTAAAATTTACGATGAAAATCTAGATTTGTATATATCTTAATAGTGAAGGCTATATGAAGTGCTTACGATTTTAAAAAAAAGTTGTCTTTTGGGTCTTGAATTTGAAAAGGGGGACACAAAATACAATAAGCAGATAAGGGGACACACGTCCGTGTGCATAGGAAAGGAAGGTGAAAGACAAAAGCAGGGGGGCAGAGTGAAATCAAAACTCGGAACGAGTGATGGAGACATGCATGATGGGAGGTGTCACGTGACCTACCCGTTTCCTTGCCAATTCTCTCCCTCCCATCAAGAAGCCTGGCTTTGACACTTGAGATATGTACACAAATATCTTTCTTGCAACAACACCCACTTCACGACACGACATGAAAAGTATAGAAAGAAATACTGAGAGAGAAAGAAAGAAACTCCTCCTGCCGTGGCTTCTGCGTAGAGTGCGGAAACGCACGTCAGGCTCACCGACATTTTTCCATCTCCAACGGGCCAACGCAAGTTGACACCGGGGAGGATGTGGGGAAAAAGGCTTAGGCGTCTCGGCAATGCGTGTAGTCCCTCGGTTCTTTTGTTTTCACCGAGTTGCTACATGTCAATTATGTGGTCACGTGGTGGATAACCAGTGATAACAAAAAAGAAAGTTGCTCCAAAAAATGATCCTCAAAGTAAAAATACTCTATAACTAAAGCATTAACAATCATTACAACCATAAAGATAAAAAAAAATGTCAGGGGAATGATGCCATGATGTTCCTTTTGACATAAAAACAGGCATCAATGCAATCCAATCCGAATGATATTTGATATAGCGCTTTTCCATGCTGTTAAAAAGCGCTGCACACTTTGCTCCATACGTTTGTGCCACTTACACAATAACATATCACTTCAAAATAACCATGAAATAACAAACCAGAGGAAAAGTCAATACAATACAATCCATTGTCCTCTAACAAACATGACTTGTTTTCTATTTATTTTATGTTTGTATGTTTGTATGTATTTGTATGTATTCCATGTTTGTATGTTATTACTTTAATAGAAAGAAGGGGGATGGTTCTTCTATTTTCGAGAGTGTTATAACGTTCCCGAAATCTCCGTCCAGCCAACAAAACCAATGACAACGAACAATAAAACAGACATGTTTAAATAAATCACTTTTAGAAAGAGCCGAATACTGAAATGAAGCCTGTATTTTGTTGTGATGTTTTTTCTCTCGGAAGACAGGCACTGCTGAGCGTACGTTTGTGCTCCAAAGTTTCCGAATTGCGTAAGGATATGCATAGGCAAGATGGGCGTTTGGTGTTTAAAAGTGGGGATGTACTAGCCCCCCCCCCCTCCCTCCATCCCCATGGGTACTGGCAAAAAACTTTTCTTTTTCTTTTTAAATCATGATTATGGCTCATTGTGCTACCAACATAATTATGATCATATCCATATTATCGTCTAAATATAGGAACCAATATCGAAACACTTAAGTTGAAAAATTCCGCATAAGGGAGGTGAAACCGTGGCATTTACTACGCATCAATATTGCCTCGTCACACCCAAAAATCCCCTCTTTAAATGTTTCCCGTCTTCTTTTAATGTCTTCTTTAAACGCCTCGGGTTCTCCCCGAAGACACGCAATCGTTTTCAGTAACGGTGCACACATCGTTATCTTGCCTTCTGTCCCATCTATAGACATCTATGTCAGCTAAGGGAAGGATGAGTAAGATAAAATCCTTTCCTGACCAGAGCTCAAATCGAGTGTCTTCTTTCCTGTTTTTTATCTGGCAAGTATTTGTCACTTTTTCCGACTGTCAAAATCATCTTCATCAAACTCGCAGAGACATTTTTTCCTTGGCTTCTCAAAAGAAAAGTAAAAAAACAAAAACGACAAAGACCTTCACACGCGATGAACAAGGTAGACTGTGTGTAGTTATGCAGTAACAGTTATACAGCATATTTGAAGGAGGGGTAAGGGGTCACTCCCCCCCCCCCCCTCCTCCTCCACAGATTCTAAACATAGATGTTGATCAGGTATTCTACGATTGTGCACGGAAACATATCAACATAATTATAGAGGCATTCTCAAAAGATGTTTGTGGTGGTCTAGTGGATAAGTCACCGGTTCGAATCCCTGCCACAGCACGAACGTCTTTTGGCAAGACATTATTTTAATCCACAATGGCCACAGCCGATCCAAGTGGGGGTAAATGGTACCTGGCAGAAAGTAATTCTATGAAATGCTTTAAAGCACCACCCAAACCCCGGACATGACCAAGGCAAAGGTCTTGATACGCCATTGCAACTTCGCCAAGATGGCGTCGGCGTTGCCGAGGCGGGAAATTTTTCAATTGACGAAACATGGATGTTGCGGTCCCTTGGGTCGTCTGCTGTAGGAAAGAGTAAGATGACCGAGAGAAATCAATGTTTAGCGCGACGGTTTATCTCTTTTGGGCTGGGTTTATGATGATATCATGTAAGGTTACCATGGTTAAGACCCGAAGACCTTTTTTGTCGTGATGAAGCAAACAAAAAATTGTTTCTGATCATTCTGTTTGGTGTTGTTTTCCTTTTGCTGGTCTTCTTTTTCTTCCTCTTCTTCTTCTTCTTCTTCTTCTTCTTCTTCTTTATTTTCTTTTTGTCGTTAATCTTCTTTTTCTTCATCTCCTTCCTTTTCTGTGTTTATCATTTTTTCTTTGCCTTCATCTTCGTCGTTTACTAAATTTCTTCTTGTTCTTCTCCCTTTAATTCTTATAGGTTTTTTGTTTGTGTTTTGATTTTCTGTGACGGCTTGATGTCCCAACAAATTGTCATTAATACTTCCCTTCTTATATCTTTTACTCGATCTTGTTTAATGATTATCAAACTTCATTAAGGTAGGACCAATTCCCCCTCATCTCCCCCATCTCTTTCTCTGTACAATGCTTTGCCCTCCTATACTTATGTGTTGTATTCATTTGCCCCATCATATCATCAATCTCGTGAAATTCCTCATCCGTTTGCTTATTTCCTCTCACGCAGAGCTCAACTTAAAAAAATGAATCCTCGTTTTGCACACAATTCATTTATCATAAAGGTCGATTCAATACAAATTTTAATACCAATATATTTGATTTGTGTAAAGGTATATTAAACGACAATGCATCGTCTAGTATTCAAGGTTATAAACTGTGTCAGTTTGTTGCGATTCAAATCCACGACACTCCGTTCAGTCTGAAATAATGTCGCGACCTCATCGTGCAAATGGGACCAAAATCGAAGAAATGACGGACGGACAGACGGGCGTTTTTGGTCTCGCCTTTCGACGCCAACTCATTGCCTTTCGCCCCGCCTAATGCTGGACGAGATTCTGTTACCTCACCGTAGCGAGCCGCAAGATATCCTGTTCAAAACGCTAGGGAAATCGGCCGCTTCTGGTGCATGCCACCAATTATGTTTTTGGTGTTTTTGTTTATCCCAAGGGGTTTCTGACACTGGTGTATTTGCATGAGCATCGCCACGGGCTGCGACACTGCACACTTCTGATGTCGTGTAGATATTATACGCTCAAAGTGTATTTAATTGCAGGGATTCTTTTGTAGCTTAATTAGAATTAGCGCAATGATGTTATTGGTCCATTTCTCTAGCCCCCTTCACCCCCCCCCCCCCCGAAAAATGTTGAACACCGCCTTTTCATCGCTGCTATCCGTAACCAAATTACTGTTATGGGCTTTCGTACTAAAGTCTTATTTTTTCCTTTCAAAGCAAATAATAATGTCCATTGGACAAACGTGTGTTTGTTTAAAGCTGTTTCTCAGTTTGTCAATTGTTAAAATGGCACAATGCAAAAATTCTTGAGTTTATCATTATAACTGTGAAAAAGATGCCTGTCTCTGGCGTTATTATTGGGCATGTACGTCTATGAATACACACGAAGCGTAACCTCGAGTGTGTTATCGACTGCTCTACTCGAAGGCACTAAGACCATGCGTCGTTAATTTAACGCAATATTTGCACTCCTCACTTTACATTCACTTTGTTTACGTACGATGGCATCCTGGCATGGTGCGTCAAAGACCGCGCCAGCTGCTACCTGACGCAGTCCTGCGCTAGGCTGTAGACGCTCTCGTGTGATGCCGTTTTCTGACGCAGTTATACGTGAGCAAAATGACGTACTGTGTGCAACGGGCTTACACTATAAACATGACTGACAAAGAAAGCGGACAAAATATACAGTTCCTCAGGTAGACAAAGGAACATCCCTTCACTGCTATTATGTAAAAATGTGTAGAACAGGTGTCACATGCATATTCACATTTTTACATAATAGCAGTGAAGGGATGTTCCTTTGTCTACCTGAGGAACTGTGTATTTTGTCCGCTTTCTTGTCTGTCATGTTCATAGTGTTACCCCCCCCTCCCCCTCCCCCCCCCCTCTCTCTCTCTCTCTCTCTCTCTCTCTCTCGAAGCGCGTCAAAGATCACGCTAGTCGATAACGCAGTTCTGCGTCAACCAAATGACGCCTTGTGTGCATGGGCGTTATTAGAAATGTGATGTTTTTCGACTCATCTCACGGATATGTTGCATTTGGAACCAATGTCGGAATGACATGGTATATAGAAGACGGAAGGTTTAATCGGTTTAACAATGGTCACACTTGAAGAACAAATTACTTAATGATACGATGACAAGTTCTTGCGATGGGGGAAGTCAGATGGTATTTATAGTCGCGCTCATGATTGCATTTTGAGAATTAAGTACTTGTTCGCGTTACACAATTAAACAACGCCAAGTAGCTGAGTGGTAGTGTTAAGAAGGGGAAAACTTCAATTCCAATTGAAACACAATTTGCGCTTAAACGAATTACCAGGAGCGCACGGCGCGCGGACTGAAAATAGCGCCCGTAACGTCATGGCCAATTTAGGGAGCAAAGGAACTCGTCAATTTTAAGTGTAAATTAATGAACATCTTTTCAAGCCCCGCCACCCATTTGTTTTTCTCCTGAACACGGGCATGGCGTTCCTTCCTCCTTCGGCTTAATGTTCACTCCTTAACAATGGTTCTTGAAAGAGTTGGAGGGGAGTTCCCCCTGGTTATAGGGGGACAATTAACGCATCCTTGGTGGAGGGGACCCCTCCCAGTCCCAGCATCCGGCGTTTCCGTCTCCGAGTAGACTTAACTCCACAAGCGACGGAAGGACGTGTTTAATATTTTCGAGAACCCAACACGATGACACATACCCCGGGACTACACGAGGGCTTCGCGAAGTGAGAGAGGGTTGACAGAAATGAGGGAGGAGGAGAAACAAGAAAGTCAGACATAAAACAAAACCTGAACGCTCATGAGGTGTTTCGACAATTTTAATTAGGTATTGGTTAAACAGACCCTCAGCAAAAAGTACAAGGCACCAAGGGCAGAAGCCTGAGTCTCCCCCTTTGACTACATAAATCTTTAGACAAGACGCTAAATTGGCACACGAGGCTTGATTGGGTCTCATAAGTCGGTGGTAGCTTCACATCGAGTGAGCACAGTCAGTGGTATCTAGCCAAACGTAAAGGACATTAGCCGACGATAGCTGAGGCTTTCGACCCAATTTGATCAATTTCATTACAATCCAGGGAGTATCGTATCCGAGATTTTGACTCCAGCGAGCAGGGCTCGTTGTTAGCTCCTAACAAGACACTTAAGTTAATCGCTCCTTAACTGAATTCATCAGACTCAAACAGAGCTCCTAAGTTGGAAAAAGGCCACAAACTATTGTTGCAGACATTCCTCAGTGTTAACGCACAAACGCGCTATATTGAGCATCAAATCTGGTTACTAATCGAATGCAATTAGACTCCATACGGGGCTCAACATGATTAATTTATTTGGATATTTTCTCGACCGGGATCACCATGATATGGAAAGCAGAGAAGGAACGCCTATGGAGGAGTCTAGCTATTGTTCGTCGTCTGTTCTCCCAGGTAAATACCAAATCAAAACAAAGAAATGTTTGTTTGTTTTGTTTTGATATCTGTTTGTAAACGTCATAATCATGATCAACATCTTCGGCATTATCGTCGTTTTCGCTTTGTTATATGAGTACCTATAGTTGAAATATACTGGGAGAAGGAGGAATGAAGCAAGAGAGGCAGAGAGAGAGAGAGAGGGATGAGACTTGTGTGTGGGGGTGTGTGAGAGAGAGAGAGAGAGAGAGAGAGAGAGAGAGAAAGAGAAAGAGATAGATTGAGAGAGAGAAAGAGAGAGAGAGAGAGAGAGAATAGAGAGGAGAAAAGGTGAGAAGTAGGATAGTACAGCATAAACAGATAGAGAAATGGTAATGGAGAGAGAAAGAGAGATATCTGGTGAGAGAGATAGAGAAACTGATAATATGGAAACATTTTAATCGTGCTAATCATCTTCAAATTAGTTTCAGTGGCGATAACGACACCATTTAAACTCATGTCTTCAAACCACTGAAGTTAACATTTCATATTTCCTATCTTAAGATTACATGCCTATGTTGCATGTGTGGCTCGTCAGCTCACTTGCTCCTGTCCAACAGATAGCCCTGTATGAAAATGAGGGGAGCGAAACAAGAGGAAACTAATCAAACAACTTTGCAAAACAAGCAAAGAACTCCAGGTATAAAGTAAAAAAGAATCACTCATGTCGCTAACTAACTGTGGGAAGGTTTGTTACATATACGAGCTGGAAAGCGAGCTCCTCAACGATCTCCATATACGACCGCGAAACATACCGACATTAACGTCATAACTAAATGTTTAGAGATTGAAATACGATATGATTCCGACTTCGAGTCCTTGAGTTGACGATTTCGAAGAATTCACCATTTGTATGCCATTTTATTGTATAAGAAGTTTATATCTACCTTAGATTTGATAAGGACATTATTGAAAGTTTTTTTAACAAAGATACATGCTACGATGGAACAAGTTTGACCAGATCATGTGTACCTTATTTGGAGCAATGATTACACAATAATGCATTGACACTGTCGTTGTTGGTTTATTTTCACATGACAAAATCTGTCATACATACATCATAATTTGACCTGGGGGTGTTTCACAAAGATTCTAAGTTGAACTTATCTCTAAGTTGGACTTAACAATTATGGAAAGTCATTAGCATCCTTGAAAATATTTTTGTAAAAGTTATTTAAAAAAGCATAAAATGTTGATTCAAATCATTTATATTTCATTTTATCAAGGATATTTCACGTTCTTGATGTAGAATTTATGAAAAGTCTAAAATACTTGAATTTTTGCTTTTGAATATATTTTATTTTAAGGCTACAAATGGCTCTCCATAATGTTTAAGTCTAACTTAGAGTTGAGTCCAACTTAGGATCTTTGTGAAACACCCCCTGGGATGATAATGATCTATAATATATTAACTTTATTTAGCTGTTTATGGTCTCTGTCTCCTTGGAGATATTCCTTGGAAACCTACACACATTTGACTTTATTAGTAAACCGGTCTATTATTTATCAAAATTTAACATTGTTGCGAGAAGAAAAAACACTTGACTTCGACACCTTTAGCGAAAAGAGGGATGTGTCACCCCCAACGTTGCATAAATAGTACACAGGGTTCGCCGACCTCTGTAGATTTGTTTTGTTTCCGCGGATTACCCTCCAAGATCGTCTACCGAGAACCAGAAGGGCGTTTTTGTAGGGGCATTGACATATTCAGGCAGTCACCCCGATCATGTCATATCTGTTTTTAGGGTGATTCGGAATTCCCTCATTTTAATTTGGATAAATATATTTGTTTAAGCTTGAATCTATTTTAGCAAACAAGTTTAATGTCATAAAATGTGCGTTTCGTGCATTTACAGATGGTAAAGGGTAAACAGAAGTTATGTAAGCGTTACACAATTCCTCTTTTATTCCATCAGGGTTTTACTTTATTCACCATTTATTTTATACGTATAGATATACCAATTTGCTACATGCTCTTATATTGATGTGTCCTTTTTTATTGCCAGTATCATTACACAATTAGGCGAAAATCAACAATTTGCTTGCTTTGCTTGCATATCGTCAAATCACGGAATGGGAGGGGTGCGATGTTACACCCCTGCTCCCTTTAGACTCCCTTGACCTAGGGGGTTCGTTAGTACCCCTCACTCCAAGTAGAGGTTGTAGCACCTTTTCCTCCCCTTTCCCTCACCCCTTTGAACATCACTGGTTGGTTGCTTCATTCTTTGTTTTTGTTGTTTAGTTTGTTTTGTTTGTTTTTGTAGTTTTGTCCATAATTGAATAAAAAAAAAGTATATTGATCTTATCATGTTTATAGCATCATCAAATCTCTTAATATGAGGGGTGCAAGCTTACACCCCTGCTCCTTTCTTATACACCCCTGGTCCTGGGGGCATGGTCATTACCCCCTCACTCTAGGCAGCCTGTAGCGTCTCTTCCTCCCCATCTTTTGTTCTTGTAGCGTCTTGTCGACAACAAAATCTTGCCTCCACACGTCAATTTTTGTTCTTTACTAGGAGGATGTGGTTCGTTATTTTCTACGGACGAATATATTTGGGATTCTTCCTCCCGACCCCCAAATTTGGCGGGAAAAATTGTTCTAATACTAGAGGTCAATTGTATTTGTTACAATGTTCTTATGCAAGGCTATCATAATATCCCAAAATACAGCTTTACGTGTAAGAGGGTGAATCTGATTTCGCGAATTGAATATGTTTTGGTTTTATGAAGGCATATTTGATATTGGGATTATTTGATGCACGTTCTCTTTCTTAATGTTGTCCCATGTTTCTATTCTTTTCTCGGGCATTGTCAATATCTCAATCTCTCACTTTCTTTTCGTTTCTTGCGTTCGTCGTCTCCCCATTTCAACATGTTTAACTATCTTTCGAAACCACATTTTTGTCCGTTGCAAAGTATTTTATATCTTCGTAATGAATTTCGTGGACAAAAGCTCTCATCGTCGACCCCGACGTCTATGGTTCTATATCGAAAACGACAGTGATTCGATGGGCGTGGTATCAGACAAGTAAAATTTAATTTCTTACACGAATCAAATGGCGTAGCGTAAATCAGGGCATTAAAGGGGCGCTTGCAGTACAAGGGAGGGGTGGGGTCTTATTTGGTGGATGAAATGCATATTTACAATGCTATTGTTTAGGGCTTTGTCGTTATATTTATTGTAATATTCTCTTCCCTCTATCCATTATTTTCTATCTCCCACCCCCCCCCCCTTTAAACTTGCATATACTTTATTCTGCATGTTATATGAGGGGCACATGCCCCTACCGCCCCCGCCACCCTGGCTACGCTACTACACGAATGAACGGAACATTCGAGAAGTTTAAACGAGAGTTTTACCACGTACGGGGTGTCAAAACTTCAACACGCATTTTAACTCCTTAACCCTATCTCGTTATCACGTTAACTCGGAGAATGGCCAACAACAAAAAAGGTTCCTTGTTTTTCTTTCTGCTATCCATTCTGTTTTTGTTTGGATCGGTTTGTTGTGTTTGTGTCATGGCTTTGTAACCGATTAATGTCTTCGACGTTTCGGCCCCTCTCCCATCCTCTCTCTCTCTTCTTCTTCTTCTTCTTCTTCTCTCTCCATTTCTAGACTCTCACTCTCGCATTCTTATCATGTCTCTTTGATATTCGTCAACCCCCCTCCCTTCTCACTATCCCTCTCTTTTTTAAATCCCATTTGCATAGATAATGCATATACAGTTAATTATGTTGATCGATGCGTTCGAACCATATCTGTATTATTGTAATTTACCATCTCATATTGACATTAATTCATTTAAAAAGATGAAAACATGATAAAAAATAATGATAATAATAATAATTTAAAAAAAAAATTACTATGATATTGATAATGATTGTAATTGAAATTAAAGTATGTTATTTACGATATCAACAAAACGATGAAACATTTACAACACGCCCTAAGATTTGTTACATTGCGCCCGACTGAATATTTGTTTAGAAAAGAAGCAAAATAGCCATAATATAGATTATTCAGACAAACATTGCCACGGACCAAAAAAAAATAAAATCTGGAAGTATTCAACCCCATCTCTGATTTAAAACTCACCGCATCAAAACGACATCTGCCTGTATTTCAACACATCCTACACACACGCATTAACAGACGGTGGAAAAGGGAGAACGGGGAGGGGGAGGGGGGTTGTCTACGTCATGTTTTGTTCGATGGTTACGCGACGGAGAAAACGCGCCAAAACGATGTTGATTGACGAGAGCTTCGATGCCATACCGATGTGCGGGAATGTTACGCGAGGAACATCTGCGCAGTGCTACTGCAAAAGAACAGTGGAAAATTTCGCTTTGTTTATACTTATTTTCTTGTTTTTTTGTTTGTCTGTTTGTTTGTTTGTATGTCCGTCTGGGCATGGTGGCTCAGTCGTTAGAGTGCCCGCCTCATGAACGGGAGGTCGTGGGTTCGAACCCCGGCCGAGTCATACCAAAGACTTATAACAATGGGACCTTCTGCCTTCTAGCTAGGCGCTCAGCATATTAGATTGGAGAAGGGTAGTAATAACATATTATGTTATGCAGGGCCCGCTGGAAGAACAGTTTCATAACTGAAGTGGCTACCCTGGGTAAATAAAAGTTATTATTATTATTATTATTATTATATGTTTCGATGTTGTTTTGGGTTTCTTCTCGTCTCATTTACCCACAATGTTCATATCATCGTTTTTACAACTTGTTCGTTGTTATTGTTTTCGTTTCTTTTCGTTTATTTGTTACTTCTGTTTTGTTTTGTTGTATGATTACCTTCATATTCTTAAAGGTCATATTTCTACTTTGTGTTGTATATTTCAACGTGCTTTTCTAATAAGTGTTCCTCTTATTCACCTTCTACTGATTTCAGCTTTTAATCTATTTCAGGGCTAATTTCGTGCATTGCAAAATAGGCCTACATGATTCAACTAATTCAACGATCGGATTACATT